GTGGGTGAGTGAGTGCTTTTGTTAGTTATCATTAACCGACATGGTTTACAGTCTTAACTCTGCAGCTATACGAGTGTACCTACTGAACTGAATAACACAAAGTCCAACTTGAAAGACCTCATTTCCTCTTATTCCCCCATAATTTGCACTGAAAAAACTATACAGGCTAAATAGACTACAGATGGGGCTGGACTCTTAGTCTGTATTCTGAACCGCCGAGATAACCAGCTCGGTAAATGCACTTTGTAAATTTCGAGAGGGATTCTCTCGTGGATAATGTGTATAGATTTTTTTTTATCGCGAAAGCCGAGATATCTCGAGAGACCTCGTGACCTGCCGTCGGTAAAGTCTGGTGCGAAAAGCTGTGACCCATCTGCACACAGCCCGTAAGACAAACACAGAGACGCGATGCACTTCTATTAGAGCGGAACAATTTCATTCAGATGTTTTCAGTGGCGAGTCATTTTGAACAAGGCTATGAATTTTCCGGTTTATTTTAAAAGTCGGATATTTTTTCACCAGCTGAGCGATTATCAGATTCTCATGAAGGACTCTTTTAATGGATCATATACTATCCTATAGTATCGTGTTGAACTTGCTACGTAAACGTAGAATCGAAGAAAAGCGTACAGAACTAGATTAAAAAATACTTTGCGAGGCCTAAGTTTGGATGAGAGTAATTAATTTTAAGGAAACGAGTTTTAAAGTGTGTGTATTAAATCTAAGTGTCTCAGAACAGTCTAATTGTTGGCTTCGGGCTGATGGTGACACTATTTCAGTTCTGATAATAACACAGAATTTACGAACAGATAAATATATATGCATTGTTTGCAGTAACAACGAGTCAGCTATCATTACCATTCAACCAGTCACTCAATAAATTAACAAGCCAAATCAGAAATTCGTCCACCCGCTTAATCATCTAAATAATTTTATTAAATATCTTAGCTGAATACTAAGTTTGTTTCTTGCTGGCTGACAATCTTGACGAATTATGAGAAAATTGTTACTGTTAAACTTTGTCAAATTTTTATCATGAAAACATTACATTAATAGCTAATTAAAACATGTAAATATTGTATATATATATTGGTACATAATAAGACACAAAATATAAGATGACTTCCAGCTAGCAGTGCCTCCAAGAATGTATTCAAATGGGGCACACATGTTTATACGGCCTATAATGCTTCATTCACATAATAGGCAAACTAGACGTGTAGTTAATAGCATGGTGTATACAAAATTAAAATGTTGTACACTTAATTTCAGTATTTATAGTACAGCGGCCTCTGTATGTATCACATACTTTAACATTCAGTAACTCTACATTCTGTCCATAGTGTATTGTGGATTTTGAATGACTCTTAAATAGACAGTGATTACTTTTCCAAAATAGCATTAACAATTTGATATTTATAACGAAGACATGTCCTTTTCGTAGAAGAAGAGGCTTCATTTTTAAATATTATTTAGATGAACTTTGTGTTTCAGAGGGTTTCAGGTTAATTCACTAAACACTACGACTTATGTTACTTTATAGCCAGCTCCAGACAAACACACTAGCCTTCTAGGCCGTTTATAAATACATGGCTGCCTTCATAACCTTAAACCTAGATATTTTAATTTAGCGGATTTTTTTAAATACCTTGTTGTACACAGCTTTGATCTCGGATTTTGGCCGCTTCGCTGGAACCTAAGACAGCGCCACACAAACAGCCAGTTTGATATTTCCGCTTCACCCACGCAAACTCGCACCGCTCGCATTTAATCCCTCACGTAGGACAACGGGTAAACTGCTCCCGAGTTAAACACACAGAAACAGCTTCTTTTACTTATTCACACAGTATGTAACAGAATATCACTTGTTCTCAGATCGAATCTTAGGACACTAACAAATACGTCTGATAATAACAGATTTAAAGAAGCTTCATATCCGCACCACCTAACACACTTAAAGAACTCGCACTGAGATTTCCTCTTCCGGTGTCTTCGTCAAAATTCGGTACAGTACTTCGGGAATGTTCCAAAACATAAGACGAGCGAAATGCGGATATGCTCGTAACATGGCTTCCACCAAAATTTCAAACTGCACAGATTGTCCCAATGAGATGTAGTCTGGTCGATGTTTACCAACGTTGGTAAACATCGACCAGACTACACAGCGCAACAACCCAGAAGACAGAAATCTTCAGACTCACCGCTGTGAAAACCTCAAATCTTACATGTACACAAGGTCGCTGCTCGTCAGTCAGTTGCTCACTGCTGTCAACTGCGCCACGAAGCTAACGGTGGTCATTTTAAACAACTACATTACACTCCCTTATTCACTAAATGCCAATATTGACGCGCGTAATGATTTAGTTTTTTAAAATGTATTAATTTCATTAGCTGAATGTGTGTATGCGACTTCTTGGGATGTTCTGAATATAACGTGTATGTGAAATGCATTTTCAGAACGTGAAAATATTTGACCCATTTCTATTCTCATAATGTGTTATTCCCAACTTTATCTACCCTGTTCCAGCCGATATAAAAAAACACAAGTAAAAAAAATCTGAAGCATCAAAATTAATGCCAACTACAACAAAATTACATACTATGATCCTCTGCTCACAAATTTAGCATGCTAATCCACGAACTCGATTGTGCTTTATTAATATCTACATTACGGGTGCACTGTATGAGGGCTGGGTAGCTCAGTCAGTAAAGCGAATAGCTTCCGGAGTGGGCAATCAGGGTTCGATCCCCTGTGAAAGTTTTTTTTCCCTCTACGTTCAGAACCAGGGGTAAACAGTGGCCGTGTCGTGAAGTTGACCACTCACCCCTTTCTAGTGAAAAGGTCGAGAATGCGTGCCTGCACGGCGTTTTTTGGGATGGCATTTGTTCACTTTTGCATACATTATTACCAAAACAATATTCTTAGAACTGGAAGTCGTTTCAGTAAGGACGGCTTCTTAACTTATTCTCGTAACTCCTTTTTATGTTGTTATCGGACAGGAAAAGAAGTCTGATGTCTAATTTTCGAAATGAACATCTCCTAAACATGAAGAAATGAGTATTATAAGATTTCCCAATTTGGCAGCGAGCTGAATTCCAAGTAATATGTACGTATGTTGCGACTAAGCCAAGTCTATGGGTTAAACGGACTGAAATAAATTAGTGGACTACGTATTAATCCCGTGGTAGACTCTCTGTATTATGCCACGGTGGTCTAGCTGTTAGAACGCTGGCCTTGGAATCCTGGGGTCTCGGTTTCGATTCCCGGCGGTGCCCGAATTTATAACTTGTGTTGGGCAAGGCCGTGGTCTAGGCAACACGGAGTTTTCCTCCGGGGGCTTCCCCGGTTTCTCCGTGGCATCCCAACACCGGCGGGGCCCGAATTTTTAACTTGTGTTGGGCAAGGCCGTGGCCTAGGCAACACGGAGTTTTCCTCATTGGCATCCCAACAATTACTCCATTCACACACAGAAGAAGGCAATGGCAAACCACTTCTGGATCATCTGCCAAGAACGTATATGAACAGGTCCCAGTCCGAGAAAAGGATGGAAGGATCCTGTTCATATGGACCTGTCGTCAGACAGAACACTAAATAATAATAAGACTCTCTGTCTGGCCTCTGATACTTATTCATCTGGTCTATAAATGGATTTAGAATTTCATTATCGTATTCACACAAGTCCACCATTGAAATGTATCTTCAGAAAGAGAGGTCTTTCAAAGGATTTCTCCCCTTAACGTCTCCTCGCCAAAATCCTGTAAGCATTTTAATATCCTCTATGTTTGCTACACATTCGATCTATCTAAGCATTCTTGCTTTAATGACCGTAATAATATGTATTAGGTTAAGAGTGGCATGTCTTAAAGGACATACAAACGTAATTGATTGTCTTCAATTATTTGTTACTTTTCGTGTTTTTAAATTGTTATATACACACCATAAAAACAGCAAACAACACAGAAAGAGTTTATGGAAGAACTTATGGCTCCCACTGTAACTGAAACGTTTCTATCCGTGTGATAAGGCTAGGAATAGTAAGAAATAATTATAACGTACTCACAGTCGCTTCAGCTGCCATGTTTGTATTTATTAATATATAAAAATGTTTAATAATTCCTGCATAACTTTAAGATGTATTTAAATTATCTCAATACAAAATACCAGTGGGCCATTTCGTTACAGGAAACTGAAGGTAACATCGACCAGTCTCCACCAGACAACACGGCGCGTCACAGATGACAGCAATCTTCAATAAAATCATTAGTTCATACGCGTTGATAGCCTTACACGGTGTAACCCCGAGATAAAGCATAAGAAGGAAAGGGCACGTCGTCTCTTCGTTTGTTTTTTGTCTTTCGGGAAATAGTTGCTACACCTCATTTATCTTCTCGTGTCCTATCTAGACGCCTAAAGCTTACAATTTACAAAACAATAAATTTTACCTGTCTCTTCTGTAAGTGTAATACTTGGTCTCGCAATCCGAATAAAAGACGTGTATTGGCGGGCGTCTGAGAATGAAGTGTGGAGGAAGATATTTGTACCTACGAGGAGCTGAGAGCCACGGTGGTCTAGCGGTTAGAACGATGGCCTTGTAATCCTGGGGTCTCGGGTTCGATTCCCGGCGGTGCCCGAATTTATAACTTGTGTTGGGCAAGGCCGTGGTCTAGGCAACACGGAGTTTTCCTCCGTGGCATCCCAACAATTACTCCATTCACACACAGAAGAAGGCAATGGAAAACCACTTCTGGATCATCTGCCAAGAACGTATATGAACAGGTCCCAGTCCGAGAAAAGGATGGAAGGATCCTGTTCATATGGACCTGTCGTCAGACAGGACACTAAATAAAATAAAACGAGGGTCTGAGACAACCGACGACAGAAATAAAGCGCACAGTAGAAAGCATCATAATATATCGTACCTCACTAAGTTATTAACGCTGACGTCTGCAACTTATTCAAGATGCGGTCACAATAATTCCCGTGTCCTTTTTTTTTACAGGTGTACTCCCTGTTGTGCGTGATATCACAGTACCAGGAGTATAAGGCGGGGCGTGGCACTGCAGATAATGACGCCTTCCTTGGATGTAAGGTATGCAAACAGCACTGCGGCGCGAATGACGTGCCCTACATGCCCCGTCCAGCTCATCCTCCTTGATTAAATTATCCTAATAACATACGCTGAAGAGTACAATTTATGAAGAACATTTTTATGCACCCTTCTAGGTTGTAGCGCCGTGTAGTCTGGTAGATAGCCCTGATGATGGAGGCAGTAGGACCTCTGAAATGTTGGTAACCTTCTCCCAGACTACACGGCGCAACAACCCAGAAGACAGTCATTTTCAAAATATTCCCCTCATCAACCTGTAAACACCCTCAATCTGTGTTCTTCATTCGGTGTGAAAGATGAGATTTCATAGCAATACATAAAAAAAACTGTCCCATTATACGCCATTTAGGCGCTTGGGGGGAGAGGTGGTATAGCTCCTACTCACTCTTGACCTTGGCATTAGATGGGGGTGAGTGGTCCCGACATAACAAAAATCAAAATTGTATTAAATCATTGATAATTTATCAGCCATAAAATGGTTAATAAAACTTTGGTTTACTTTAAATATTTCTTTGCAACTTTAGAGTTTCAGAGTAGTAAGTTAGCTTAACTAGTTCAGAAGTCTAAACCCCAGACTTATTCGCATTGGAATTAAACTTTCCATTCTTTGTTTGATATAAGACAGTTTCTAATAAAAAGCGATGGCTTTCGAGTTTCTAGCACGAGCAAAGCAAACACGTGTTATTGTATTATTTCGCTAAAGTACACAAACTTCTGTCTTATGAGCAGACAAGAAATTCAGTAAAAGCTTTGAACTTTGCAGTGCAAAGTAGTGACGGTCTGCTGTATTTTCAGTCGGTTCCCGACTCGACTGGCTTATTATCATAAGGCACAATTCCATGTTCTTAGTGTACTGAATCAGCGGTTCAAAACTGACGATGCTGTTCTGCATTCCAGAGGGCCCAGGTTCGACTGTCAGGATGGCGGCCGACAATCGTCACAGACGTTTCCCCACGCATTGCCCAGTATGTCTAAACACTTAGCGATATTGTATAAAATACGCTACGACCACTTCCACAGCCTAAAATATCTCAATTACAACTGCGTTTAGGAAGAGAATTTATAGAACCATCTGTTGCTATCGTCATGTCTGTCCATCAGTTTATCCTGACCGATTTAGACCTGACTACAGCCATCTCCAACCATCCATTTGACAAATATGTCGTGCCTCAAACGCTAAAATATTTCCATAACCCTCACTGGTTTTGAGGAAAATAATGACAGTACAATAAAAGCATCTACACCGAACTCGAATCTGCTCATGATCTTTCACTGTCTCTCTAAAGGCAGGTAATTCGCAGAAGCGACGTACATTTTTATGGTCGTCGTTGCAGGCCCCACAAGTGAGGTACGCGCCCCGAGCCACTGCCACCAGCTGCCTGAGCACCAGAAGGGCCGCTACGTATCATGAGACAACGCAGAGTCCTACGGCCCTCCACTCGACCCTGCTCCTGCCGGAAGACACCAGTCGATCACAACGCCCCAGCCTCAAGCACGTCCAGTTCCCGGACGACAGCAGGAAGGGCGAGGCGCTGCCGTCGAACCAGACATCCGAGGGTACGGAACTGACATCGAATCTGTTACATTCTTAAAACATTAGCCAGATCATCAAACCAAGGAAGATGAGAAATCCGAAGAAATTATTTTGGTATGAAAGCCACTCGGAAGACCTAGAAGTAGATGCGAGAATATTAAAGTTCATCTTAAGGATATACGTTTGGGAGGGAGGGAGGTGTTTACTGGATTCATATGGCTTAGTAGCAGGACCGGTGGCAATGAAAGTTTGGGTTTCATAAAATGCTGAGAATTTCTTAATCAGATGAGCGTTCTGTTACCTTCTCAAGTTAATAATCGCTACCATCATGGTTATACATATTATTATAATAACCATTATTAACTTACTATTATCACACAGTTACTTTTAACTCCAAGAAATGTTATCTGTACTGACAGACGTGAGTTGGTAACAGTCATATTGTTATTTTGAAAGTGTTCTTCTGTCGTAGTTGGTAGGAAAATCTTCTGCGTCTTGAAAGAAGGCATTACTGCTCTAGTCAAACTTCTTCGGAGAGAAAGTTTCGGCGAAGTAATATAAACGGCCGATGAGACACATTGTGCATTCAGGTAGCTGAAGCCTTTTCGCTGTCAGTCTTCATTTGGTATCAAACAGCGACTTCCTTTTTGCGAGGACAGCTCGTGCACGCTAGCCGTAAGACGCAAACCAATCTCCCTACGTGATAAATTCCAGGAACTGCAACTTAAAATTCATACAAGTTTGTGAAACTTTTCGCAAAGCCTGAGGGAGGATACGGTGTTCCTGTGACGAAATGTAAAATTTCTGTACTATTTCAAGTTTTCTTCGAAGTTTCTGTGGGGAAAAAATTAATTGAAAATAAATAAAGGTGACTGAGTAACTTAACTATCTACTTCTTCAGTTCTTCATGCATCAAACAGTTTATGACTGCGATAACAAAACTACCTAACTTTCGCTGTAAAAGTATCCAGATTGAATTCTGATGGAGAAATAGTTATCACGATTCGGGTTCTTAGAGATTCGTACAATCCTCCAAGGCGAAATCTATTGTAATAACACAAAACAGGCTACGACCACACCCCTCACAAATTACCCATGAACAACGCAAGACACACACACACACGATTATATCATGATGACAGATTGGATCTCGTTGAAAAGTTCCCTACAAAAATAAAGCGAACATGGGAGAATAGGATTTGAATATATTTACTGAGATAACTGACAGCAGGATCCTAATGGAATATTATTAGAGAACGTAACAAGACGTCTCCTACGGAATTAAAATAGTCATGACTGTGTTCAACACTGGTATTAATGATATTAAAAAGTAAACATTACAAGTCAGAACACGTAATACCGAGAGTGCGTGACAAACAGACGTACGACCACAACAGGGTGGTATTTATAATGAGAAAACACGATGGATATGAAAATAACGCTCTTCAATTTGTTTCTGCCGGCTGCTACCCCAATAAATTGTGTAAATACGTGGCGAACTCGTTTTGTTTGTGAAATAAAGTACGTTCATGCAGAATACTTGGTCACATGTAACCACTTCAATGGAATACACACTCATGGCGGTTTTATACAGTCAACAGAAAAAACCAAGCCCTCTAATTATAATGCTTTAAACAATGTCACGTCCTATGCGACAAGCTTCGAGTGGCAATTATAAACACACATACACATAATTGCCGGGGCCCAACAGCGCGTATCGCCTACGTCACTTCCTAGCGGTTAGATGAAAACCCAAAAAGACATTACTGACATAGGAACTGAGACAGAGAGATAAAAATTATTGCCACCGGTAAACATTTTTCATTACTGACATAGGAACTGAGACAGAGATACAAATTATTACCACCGGCAAACATTGTTTGTGGTATAAACACTGTATGATTCCTCACCACTCTGGTCCGCGTGTCGTTTAATTTAACGTGCGCGGAATGCGGGATTTCTTCCCGGCCACTCTACAAACGTGCTTGTACGCGTGTATAATGGGTAAATACCTAAACGTAACAAACCGTCAGACAACTACAACTGGAGGAATATAAAAGAAATATTATACTATATAACACAAGAGCAAAAAATATATAACAACAAATAATACATAATCAGTGATTACTTAATTATTTTCTTGATATATAACAACAAATAATACATAATCAATGATTACTTAATTATTTTATTCATGTCTGCAGGGACTGTGTTATATTCAAAATAAAAATTACTTCTCTAAATCACATTTTATAATAAACACCCATAAACCCCATTAATCAACAACTAAGTACTCCAGTGGGTCAGGATAAAGATTTGAACCTGAGACCTTCAAAACACGAAGCAGGAGTGATAACAGTTTCGTAGCTTTTCGCTTCGAATCTCTTACATCGATGCATATGAACCCATCAGAGAAATTTCTGACGAAACTGAATTTCACAAGCGAGGGAATTGTGAATTTGTGGTTGTAAAGGATCCAGCTAATATCTAAAATACGTAAGAAATTTCTATGTGACGCATTACACCTGTAACTTTCAACTTCTGAGCAGTGATTCCGTACCGATTTCAATTTCAGTCAATAACTCGAAGAGAAGAGTGGATACAAAGGAACATATTCTCCTGAGAAACCATCCCGTATTGATTAATTGGTTTTCGGCAAGTAATCTCTTTCTTGCTAATCCTGTGAACATAGCCAGCTGTTTCTATCCCTTCACACTATTCCAAGGATGAGAAATTGTTTATTACACTGGACCCCGATAAATTCAAAACCTGTTGAACGACAAACAGTCAAGAAATGCACATAATCAATTACAGAGATCGGAAATTAAACCACAAACGACGTGGTAATTATATGTACGCTACCACCTGATTAATAAATAATCAATAACTTTGTAATCTTTCACACAGAGTATTTATGCGTACCGTATGATTCTCATTTTAATAGCGATGACTTCCTTAAACATCATTAAACAAACGTTCTTTGTAATGGTGACGCGCTGTGTTTTCTTTGTGGTAAGAACTGAATGAGTATACTGGACTAGCCTCGGCTTCAGAAGTTTAAATAAGACGTAACTTCTTATATTTCAAATTGTATGTAAGAAAAACTTTTATAACAACTTTTAAAATATCTTTTTCAAGAATTGTGAAAATAAAATTATATTACTAAAGAGACAACTTTTATAACAACTTTTAAAATATCTCTTTCAAGAATTGTGAAAATAAAATTATGTTACTAAAGAGACAAGAGTGAGTGAGTATTACTAAAGCGAAATCATCCATTTTATTACTGGAGAAAACAACTTCGTATTTTGTCTGACTTTTATTTTATGTTTCTAAGTTTCTACAGAGGCGTACTCCATAGAAGCTAAATATTTTTAGGATGAAGACCTCACAGGCCCCTCGCCGTCTATATTTTATATCGGCGCCCCGACACTAAAGAAAACCCCCATACAGTCCTAATCTGCACTCTTTGGATGATTTCATATCCCGAGGTTGTACTACAGAAGTGACTGTCTACTGTTTACTGTTGCAGTGGAAGCAGACAATGGCGGTGTAGTTCTGGTTATCGAGGAACCGTGGTCGACTGCAGAAGGCAAGGCTCCCAGCATCCGAAGTCCGGGCGTTGACACAGCGCCCCTCATAGATTCCGTACCACAAAATGAATGCGCTGTGACGTGGAATAAATAAAAACAGATGAAGTGAACGTTATGATCCATAATGACTGGAGTGGATGATACCTCCCGTTTGTGCACACAGACGAACACATTGGATGGAAGTAATCACAGAACAGTTATACGAAGTGCGATCGGAAAGTTTCAAGACTGCGCGTATAAAAACCCGTACACTTATCTCAGGTATTAAATTCATCCATCACCCTCGAAGTAGTTCCCCTGGGAGTGA